AATGCAGGAGCTGCCCCCTGGTGGTTAGTGCGCTCCCACAGCCAACCTCCTGTGGTCCTTCCCTACTCCCCCCTCCAGTCAGCCGCCTGGATTGGTCCTGATCAGCCCGATCGCAGGCCAGGCCGAGGAACCCCACCCATGCATGAATTCATGCACCGGGTCTCTAGTATGTCATAATCAATTTTAACTTTGGAAATGTTATATCACCATCATCCATGGTGTGTTCATAGACCTCTGCAATATGTTTAATAGGTATTCAGTGAATATAATGGCTCCACAGTCATTGTGAAAAAAATTAAACTTTTTACTAAATAATTTCTCAGAGCCTTTAATATGCTAAAGTAAATTGGAAAACAACTAAAAGGGAACACATTCTACAGGTTTTCCTCATACTTTTGACCATAGAAATATTTTTTCCAGGTGAACCCCTTGAAACTTGTGTTTTGTAGACTATATTCTAAGGTATCGAGTTCTAGGTAATTTTTCTCTAATCAAGAAAAGAAAGAAAAGGTTTTTTGTATTCACATCTTTTCATCGTGAGCAGGCCCAACCCTGTCCACACCAGTCCATTCCTAGTCCTGTTGGGCTCTAGTATGTTCCAGTATTAGCATGCCTCTTTCCCAGATAAGATACGGCCACTTTCAGAAGAAAAGAAAAAAAAAACCCCACACATACAAAAAACCACATTCTCATTTTTATTGCCAATAAAGCTGGTGTTGAAGAATGTGGCTTCTAAAAGGAACAAATAGGTTTCCTAATCTGAAACCCAGAATTAGATTGAGCTCCATCCAGTTGCAGGATATGCTGGGCTGGGCAGGCTTCCCGCGTGGGAGGAAGTCCCTGTGGAAGGTCAGAGCGGAGGGAGCCATGTGTTCTCTGAGGTCCTCCCATTCTCAAGACAAGGGGAAAAGGGAGGGGCAGAACCACACAGCCAAGTCCTCCCAAATCACCAACCCCAGGACTGGAGTAGAGGGAGGCCTGCCCCCTCCCCCCGCCCTGAAACAAGTTTGTTCTAGGTGACCCAAATAGGCATGTGGGTTTCCTTCTCATCACTGGGGATTTCTCTCTTTTCCCTCTTCCCTTTTCCCTAAGTGCTCACTCTTCACTGCCTTCTTTCTTCTCAACTCAATTCACCCAGTAGAAGGGATCATGATGATAGTCTAATGACTGTCCCTTCCTCATCTCCTTATAGAATTCAAACACAATTCAGCCTTTTATCTGAAAAGGTGGAGTACATATATTCTCTAATACGGGATCAGGAAATTACAGCCTGGCAGTGATCTTTGTAAATACAATTTTATTGGGACACAGCCTCCCTCATTGGTTTATATATTGTCTGTGGCTGCTCTCAGCTACAATGGTAGAGTCAAAAAGTTGCAGCCAAGAAAGTGTGGCCCATAAACCTAAAATGTTTTCTCTCCAGCTGTTTACAGAAAACAGTAGCCAACCCCTAATCTAAAATATAGATGAATTTCACTTCAGTTCTTTAAGTCCTGAAAGAGCTTCATTAGTATGTATAAGTAGCCTCTATCATTTACTCACTCTAAATAAAAACTATATTTTAAACCAAGAAAATGGCACCTTGTAGTATAAGAGGGATTTTGCCTCTTAGGAAATTGTTTCTCGCCTTACAAACTTCTAGAAAAGTATCCAGGGGACTGTGTTTGCTCTGAAGGACTGGAAGAAGGACAGCGGCTTGCCCTGGTCAGAAGTATTTACCATCAGCATTGGAAGGGGATGAGAACAGATAATCTGTGGGGCCTGCGGCAGAACAAAGGAATAGAGAGAAGGATCTAGGGGCCCAGGGCGTTGGACCAGCCCAGGATCCTGTTTTCAGAGAGCAGGAGCCCTAGCTCTTCTCCTCTCACCCTGCTCCCTAACTCAGAGAGGTGCTTCCCCACCTCAGCCCATCCCTCAGAGCCTTCCACAGAATCCCCAGAGATGGCGACACCGGGTTCTGGTCCTACCGAGACTGCCTTCTACCTGGGAGATCTGGGCATTTCACCGAGTGCTCTGGCCCTGAGGGTTCACTCACCAGTAATCTGGGGGCTTGGGGTGGGGAGAATGTTTTACTGAACCAGAGCAAGAATCCAATGTGCTGGGATCCAGAAGGCTTTATGAAATGCGAAGTACTGTGAGATGGTGGTGGGTTTTGTTCTTTTTAAGCAGCTGATTTGCCAATGAAAATTTTGAATCTATCCAGCATGTAAATTAGAGCTAACTGATGTTTGAAAACTAAAGTACCTTATTTCACATTTGTCCCATGCATCTTTCTTTTATAAAAGTGCCTAACTTTCATGTGGGTTATAAAAAATGGACAAAATAACTGAATTTTTACCATGACAGAATAATTCATCAGTGGGAGGAATAAAACTTTAAAACTTTATTTCTTTGTGACTTTTCTTTTCTGCTGTTTGTGTAGTTTTCCTTTTGTGCCTTTGTTTATAGAGACTCTTGCAAAAGGCATTTTTCCTTGTAATCAGTTATTGTTCTATCTGAGTCATCGCCAGACATGGCATTTCAGTCAATAGTGATTCTAGAGTCGCTTCCAGGCAGATGTGCTGTGTGATGCTGGGAACACTGGTGATAGCTGTTCTGGCTATTCAGGCTGTAGGAGAACCAGGGAAAGTCTTGTATAGATACACACCTTGAAATCAGAAAGTGGCAAAGGAAGCACATTGAATGCTTTTAGCCAAATGATTTTAGCCCAATAAAGTGTTCATGTGGCTGTGGGATGGAGTAGTAATCATTTTGAAAGGTAAAAAAAAAAATTGTTCTTGAGGTTTTTTTAACCTAAAAGGCAACAAAGCTTTCATTTCCGGTGATTTGTATTTTCCTAGCATCATGCATGGGCGTTATGAAACACACCCTGACCTCATTGTACATTACCTTGGCTATTCATGCTGCCATGCTCTCCACCCATAGCCAAGCAAACTGAACTCCTTGTTCATTGGTATTGCTGCCTGGGATCTGCTTATCCCTAACTTCCAGAGAGAAGCGGGTTTCTGAAAATAAGATCTTCTTTATAAGCAAAGAAATGGTTTAAACACTTAAAAATCAAAATAGTTTAGTGATATCCTAGGTCCCAAAAGTAGGTTGATTTAATTTTCAATTAAAACTAACTATTATCTTTTTCATATAAATATTCATTAAATTGATTGGGGTGACATTGGTCAACATGAACATGTAGGTTTCAGGTGTGGGTTTCTATGTTACAAGATCTGTATATTGTACCGTGTGCCCATAACCCAAAGTCAGATCTTCTCCTGTCACCTCATATTAGGAACCCCTTCTCCCCCACCTCTTCCCTCTGGCAGTTACCACACTGCTGTCCGTGTTCTCGAGTGTCAGTTTTGTATCCAACATATGAGTGAAATCATATAGTTCTTAGCCTTTTCTGATTGATTTCACTTAGCATAATGTTCTCAAGGTCCATCCATATTGCTGCAAATGGTTAACTGTATTATAGATGTAACCCAAAAGTTCCTAATGCTTTTGTTTTAATATGATTTTTTAAAAAAAATCATTAACTGTTTTTAAAATCTAATAAGTTATGCCACAATTATGGATCACTGGTAATAATACATTATCATGGTATTTCATAAATTTGCCTTTTAGGTTTCACAAATATGTTTTAGAAGAAAGAGACTAACTGGATGCTGAAATAGTTTTTATTACATACCATTTAGTATTACTTTGTCACAGTTTTATAGACTAGAAACCATAAAGAGAAGTTCACTAATTCAGCTAGTGTTTATTAAACACCTATTATGTGCTCTGTCCTGGCCAGCTATTTATGTTACATATAGCTGAGAACAAAGCTTTTAGGCTGGAGTATGTATTAATGTGCTTGGATTTTAAGCACTTTGGGGCGTTCCTTTATCCTAAGTAAAATAACTGTTTAAGTAAATAAACTACCCATTTAATTATTGCTTCATGATTTTAGAATTTAACAGAATTTTATTTAATCCTTTAACATTTACACAAGGTTCTTTCTTCCTTGGTAAACTCAACTTTTGTATTTCATAGGGAAAAGTTAACCTCAGCCTTTCTTACTTTCATACTTTATCTCCAATCAAGATCTGTGACCTTCCTTCTATTAACAAATTCCTAACCTTTAGTATCAGCCAAGTCATCTTCTATGAATTTTGTAATTAACCTGTTGTGGACATTCCTGAGCTGGCTTAATTTTATGGGACAAGCAATTTACAAATGACTAAGTTAACCCCTCATTATGCTTGCAAGAAATAGGCTAATTGTTTCTTTACTTGCCCTGTGTTAATCACGGATCATTAGTGATAATAAATAAAAATCGGCCATTAACAAATTAGATTATGCTCATACTTACCTATGTTTGTGTTTGTCCTGTGTCCTTGGAGCCAGCCTAGTCACCAACTTCCTTTAATAGCAGAACTCACCCAGGCACAGCCTTAGGAGTCAAAGTATAACTGAGGGCCAGTTTATGAATTTGTTCGTTATTCTTTCCTGCTGTAAAGATTGTTCAACATTTGGTTAATTATTACATGCAAATATATGTATCTACTTAGAGGCAAATCCACAGATATACAAAACCTTATAAAGCATAAACCTTATAAAAAACTAATTTGGAGGACAGTTATATTATAAAGACTTTTAATTTGAAAATAATTTGTCTTTAAATTATAAACTTTCCTAGTTTATTTGAAATATGACTTGATTTACAAAATGTGAATTCACTTCATTTGTCCAGTGTAAACCTTTATATAACAGGATATATTTCTGATTTACATTGTATGTATGTGTGTGTATTTATGTATGTGTGTGTGTGTGTATTTGATATCTGAGACCTCAATAAAATTACTATTCTTAAAAATTCACTTATTTACTTTTAACAAAGGAAATAGTAGTTGATTCCATAATGTGAAACATATAATATCAAAAGATATTTCAAAGAAATAGAAGACAATTTGGCCTCAATGAGATGATAAAGTTTTCTATTTTGTTTTTCTTTTGCTTCTTAGGAGAGACAGAAAATGAGCAGAGAATGGCAGCAAGAGGTACAACTTCAGAAGTAGAAGGCAACCAACCGGTAAGTGAAACTCCCTATGAGTCCTTTCGGGGCGAATCTGAACGAGTCACGGTGACTATATATTTCTCTGAGGATGAACAATCACTTCTACTCTTGCTATGCAGACTGGTGTCTAGGTACCAAGAAACAAGTCATCTGCTCTAAGTCAGGGATGACAATAAAGCATGACTTCCCAAGCGCTAAGCTTTCCTTGTGTTGGAAATAGAAACTTCCTGCTGAAAAAAGAGAAATAGAGCATTCAGGTTAAAACATTTGAACTATTTTTAACTGAGTGGTTATTTTCTAATACATTTGAATAAATAGATAATGTGTGAACCTATAGGGGAAGGTTTGAAAATAACCTATTGGGAACTATATTACATTACCATTTCCAGCATCAAAATGCAGTCCTTGACGTTGTTCTGTAGAAAGACTAGGGTATTTGTTCTTTTCCACATGAAAAAGCTATTTGCTCCTTGAGAGTTCTTGAAAATGTCATCAGGACACTTTGGTGTACTATGTAAAAATGTACTAATTTTATTTAATCACTGAAATAATGTTTAAGACTTAGGGGGAATGTTAATTTTTAGGGCGGAAGGGATATCCATGAGTTTTGAAACTTTCTACATGCTGACATACCTCTACTTACATTCTACTGTAGCGCATAAGGGTATTGCTGTATACAGTGGAGTGGGGTCAGGGGCCTGGCCTGTTTGCTTCATCTCCATATCCCCAAAGCCTAGAACAGAGTAGACAGTCAAGATTTGTTGAACGAATGCATGAATGAATACAATCATGAATTGTAAGTAGCCAGTAATATGTGTTTTAAGAAGAGATATTTTTATTTTTTTATATTCAGATTTTCCATAATGAATGAATGTTTTATAATCAAGAAGAACTTATTTAAAGAGAGATGTAGGGAGGAAATTTATGCAGAGGAAGAAAAGTGTCGTCTTTCCCATAGAACTGCATTAGTTTTTCATTCATGCATACAACAAATATTTATTAAGCACTGACTGTCTTCAAGGCACCGTATAAGGAGTATACAGTGGTGAAAAAAACACAGATACAAGGACAAAGAAATACGTTCCATCTATACATTGAAGTAGCTTGATCTCTTTCATGTATTCAAACATTTTGTGACTGCTGACCATAAGTAGCATCTTTGATGGGAAATAAAGGTTGGTGTATTTGAACTTTGGGAAAGAACCACCAGAATGGTTTAGAAATCATCCATAATTACTGAGTTTAATTGCTTAGTTATGGGATTCACTGGGAATGTCTGAAGTACTTGGTTATCTTTCAAAGTTGATTCATTGATGGAAAGAATTCCAAGGTTAATAACTCTTAAGGGAAGAAACTTTTGAGATTATGATCCTCCCATGCTCATTATTATGCTGTTTTCTAGTCTATTATACAACCAGTTCTTAAAGAGTGGGTTTGTATACTCATGCTGTAAGAGATATTTCAGAAGTGCCTTCTATTTGAGTGGCGGCTGGACATTCAGAGGGTAGTGTTTGCTATCAGAGAGCTTACTTATGTAGCAAAAAGTAATGGGGAGACTGCAAATGAGACCACAGGGGTAAATCCAGTACAAGAGGCTAATAATAAAGTCCTTTAGAGTCTGTGTGATTTGCCACAGAAAAGCCAAATAATCATTTACCTCAACCTTCAGTGTCTAAAATGGAATTCATTCCTCTCCTTTAAAGACCCCAAAACAAAAACATTGCTGCATGTTCCCCACCGTCGCCCCATCCCACAGTCTCCCTTGATCAGTCAAGGTAAATCTTATCCAGTCTCATGGTGTAATATCTATGTAGCCCTGGCCTGTTTTTCTCAGTGGTTAGAGCACCAGCCATGGACTGAAGGTTTGCAGATTCCATTCTGGTCAAGGGCACATACCTTGGTTGCAGGCTAGATCCCCAGCCCCTGTCAAGGCACATGCTGGAGGCAACCAATGGATGTGTCTCTCTCACATCAATGTTTTTTTCTCTTTATCTATCCACCTCCCTTCCACTCGCTCTATAAATCAGTGGGAAAATATCCTTGGATGAGGATTAACAATGAAAGATAAATTAAATTAAATAAAAATATTTTTAGTTAGAGGCTGATGACTGCCAAAGTCTATCTGCACCTAGACCTATCTCCTGAACTCTACACTATGTCCAACTGCCTACTTACCATTTCCCTTACAAGTTTCTAGATCATTCAGCCTTTACTTGACCAGAGAAGAACGGTTGATTCTTGGCCCTGCCACCCTGAGCTTCTGTCTGCTTAACTTCCCACTAACTCTGTTGAATATCACCATCCTCCCCATAGTGGGTTAGAATCCAAACCCCTGAGGTTCCTGTCTTTCCCTCACACTCCACAGCCAGTCCATCAGGAAGCCTGTCACCTCGCCCTCTATGCCCAGAATCTGACATCTGACCCCTTCTCAACATGGTACTGTTAGAACCAAGTCTAAGCCTCCACTTTCTCCAGGACTCTCTGCCTTCATTCTTCCCCCTTAAGTCCATTCTCCACACAGCAGACAGAAATATAAATCAGATCACATCCTTCCTGCTGGCTGAGCTGCAGACTGTGGCTGCACGGAGTTCCGTGTGCGCTGCAGTCTCATTTTCCTCTGCACCCTGCAAGCCCCACCCCATCCCCAGCTGCCCTTCTGTCCCTTGACCACCTAAGCTCTTTCCCACCCCAGCCTCTGCATTTGCTCTCCCTTCTTTATCACAGCTTCGCTAGGCTGCCTCCTTATCCAGGTCTTCGTTCAGGTGTCACTCTTCATGACTGTCTCAGCTAACATGCCCTTCGCCCGTCACTCTCACATAACCCTCTTTTCTCCAGCCTGTTTATCACCGTCTAAGATTAGTCATTTGTTTACTGTCCGTCTCCCCTGAATACAATGAAAAGAGACCTCGTGTGCCTCAAACAGTGTCTGTACATAGAAGGTGCACAATAAATACACGTTAACTGGCAATCTATATTTTATTTAATGTCATCATCTGTCTGCCAAGTTCAAGGCCTAAAATGACCATTTTGACTCATCAAATCTATCATCAAGTCCTTTTGATGCTATCTCTCAAATATCTTCCAAATCTGCTTCCTCATACTCCGACTAGGTCCTCATCTGTTCGCCAAACTGTTGTTAGACAAGCAGTTTCGTACCCAAACCTAGCAAGTTGTGTTACTTCTGACCCCCCAAATGTATTGAAATCTGCAGAATAAAGCTTAACCCTAAAACCCTGTTCAAATGGCACCTCCTTTGTGAGCTCTTTTCCCTGCTCCCTCAGCCAGAGATGACTACAAGGTCCTGTTACCGCTCGCTCGTGCTGTCTGGAAGGTGGAGAGTACACCTTTATTAGCTCATAGTCTCAGCCACGAAGGAACTGTTCCGCCTGTGGTGTGACACAGTCCCTGCCAATGATTTCTGGGTGGATAAATGAACAAATAAGTGGCCCCCTGCAAGTGCTGTCTTATGAGCAGATCTCTTCCTTAAATTCTGTTTCCACCTTCTATTTTAAACACACAATTGTTTTTTCCTCTCTGTAAACAATAATTATATTTCTTAGGCGTTACCCATTTAAAAAATCTGTTGATTGACACTATGGTGGGCACTCTTACAACACCAGCAAGGAAAAGTGTAATGATTTCAGTTAGTTTTTTTTTAAAGATATACATCTGATTAAGAAGTGATTCTTGTACCTAGCAGGAAAGATTCTCATTGTTTTAATTTTTAATGGCTATACAAGAAATGTTGAAATATTATTTAGTATGAGAACATATGTGGTAAATTAGTATGGATTCTGTAAGGCTTAAAACTAACACTCTTAGTTGTCAAAATAGAACTCATTTTTTCTAAGGACCCTTTGAAGGTGGCTTTTAGTTTAACAAAATAAGGTTTTTGGAGAATTCAGATACACATGTAGATTGCTTACTATTTTCAGGGAATTGTTAGACATGGGGTGGAGAGGACATAGAGATAAATAAGGCTCTGTGACTCCCGCTTATGGAAGCAGACATTTTCTATCTATTCATGGATAATTAGAAAACTCTACAAGTCACTATAATATAAAGTGGAATAAAATAACTGATATTTCAAAGGAGGAAGAGATATCATTACTGAGAGTGAAGAAAGGCTTCGTGCATGATGTATTTTGAATCATGACAATTTTTTATTATTTATACAATCAATTTTTATATTACTAAGATAGATTTTTGTGAAATAAAATTCTTCATTAAGAACATTTGAAAAACAGACGCAAATCATGGTATGAAACTTCCTTTTCGATGACAGATAATAAAGGGTTAAAGAAATATAATGTGTCTGTGCTACACTGTAGTTTTTTTTAATGGAAGTTAAAATATTTTGTTAAGTAGTCTGTGATATTTTCCCTTACACTTTGCAGACCAGGTATACTTCAAAACTGTGTTCCCTCTCCAAGTACAGCTCTCTCACCGACATCATGGAAATTCTAACATCTAGGTGGAATATAATTTGAAAAAAGGAGATCTAGTTTAGGCATCAAATACTTTAATTTTTACAGAGTTGAATTATGAGATATTTTAATACCTTTACACAAAAGACTATGAAAAGCAGCATATTTATTTGCATTGGGTACTGAGTGGGACTTTTTACTTTGTGAAACTAAAAATAATGCAGCTTTCATTCCAGAAAATTATTTCTCAGTTTGTCTCTTCTTCACTCCCCCTTGCAGTTTTTCTCAATGATGACTTAAATTAGTTACTGTTTTTGCTTTAGTGTTCCCTATATGATCCCAAAGTATTACCATCTAAAATAGGATAACGTAGGGAAACACTGAACTAATTTAGTCATCACATATAGTTTCTCTCAAATTGTGCTTTCATCTGCATTTTAAGAGCCATTGGTAATTTTGAACAGAATTCACCATATTTTGGGTGTGTAGCCAGTGTAAGCTCCTGCAATCCCATGTTTGGGCTTACTAAAATTAGTCATTAGACTCTAGTACTAGTACTTGGAGGAAAAAAGTTATAATTTGGGACTA